AAAAAAATTACAATATTTACTACAGCTATCAGTCAATAATGTAAAATAAAAGAGTCCTGAAATAACCTATGAAGACAAAACTAAATAATCATGATGGGCTTGTGCTGGATATTATCCCTTAACCCCTTTCACAGTGTGATCATGTAAAATATAGGAGCCAATCTGGGGAAGGAAATATGTGCAACAATACATATGATAACTTTGAGCTCTCCTTATGTATCCTCACAAAAACTGGTAAGAATTTGTTAAAGATTATAAGTATCTAGTACACAAAGAATGACATTATTTTAAATAAATCTTTATACTAAAAATATGTTATTTACCTATTGTAGTTATTTGGACTCAAACTCTAAATAGTTCGAGTGCAAAGTGATTTACATTTTAAGTATAAAAATACTTTTATTCATCTTTCAGTTTTTGGGTTTTATTTGCATAACCTCTAGAACCTCCTAAGTGAATATCAAAAGTTTTTTAAAGGAAAATGTTTATATCTTATTTTTCATTTTCTCTACCATACCACTTACTGTAGACATTATCATCAACATACAGTGCAATGAAATGTTTAAAATTAAGAAAGAGAAAAATGGTCATACATTTTCATTTTCTCATAAATTATCTTAAAAGATCTTCTTTTGGTTACATTTGTAATTTCAGATTTTTTTCTTTTCATATATCATTAATTTTTAATGTTTTAGGTTCCTTTTCTGTCCTTTACCATTTACTACTCATCTTGACACAAGTCAACAGTGCTCTAGGGGCATATCACATCTTTGGCAAAGATGCAAAAGCCTTCAACAAAATTTTCTTGCAATTGTGTAATATTGAGAACTGAGACAGAGTTTGAGATATATTTTAAAATGTTTAAACCTTTCAATTATGCATTTTAAAACATAAATACAATTTAATTGTCTCTCTGACTTTAAAATAATTAGTTAATAAACAACCATAAGCAGCCAACAATACTACAGGTAGATACATCTACCCAATTATGACAACTGTGTACAAATTTGAAAATAAGGTTCACCTGTGGATATGAATAACAAAACAGTGAAATAGCAGACTATTCTATTTTTTTCTCTCCTTTATAAATTTCATTCGGGATATAATTTTACTGAGAATCTATAACAAAAACATTCAAATAGTATTTCTCATCAAAACATAAATACTTTGAATTAAATACATATATTTTAAAAATGTACAAACACACAATACACTCCATATATAAATTAGGTATACTAAAAATGCTCAAAAATAAATAAAAGTTAAATGTCCCAAAAAAAGCCCTCTATATGCTAGGTATACTAAAAATTCTCAAAAATAAATAAAAGTGAAATGTCCATAAAAAGCCCACTATATGCCAGCAAACATATTAATGAATGTTTTTAAAAAAAATTCTAACTTCTAAAAGAACCATATTTTCATGTTTTCCCTTTTGAGCACATAATGTAAAACATAAAAGACAATTTTTCGAAAAATATTGTTACGACAGTGGAGGTCTCGCAACGCTGGGAGCATGCGCTGGAGTTCTAGAGTGTATTATGGGATATGGTAGGGAAGATGAGCATCCATACCAAGGATCCACATTATCATGTGTGCACATCCAACACAACCATCACCATATTTGCTAGGAACTGACATCTGGGGAATAGTAGGAAGGTGTAAAACAAAGAGGGGGTGGATCTCCAGTCCATCACCAGGTGGCATTGGGAATTTATCATCCAATCCACAGTAGAGGATACCTGGTCACACACATAAGGACTTATGTGGGTGGTCCACCTCCAACCATCACCATATCCATCTGTCAGGGTTTTACATATATATGAGTAGGCTGAGGATTCTTCTACAGTAGGTATCTGTGACTTGTTGGAAATAAATTTGAACAATAAACGGACAGCAAACAATCCACTTGTTTGAAAATAATATATTCAAAACAAGTCAAACTATGTACACAAATTCTTTACACTATGGATATCACAGCTGTAACTCAAACTCTAAATAATTCTCTTTTTCTTGTCCAAGTCCACTTAAGCTGATTAAATTACTTTAGAATCCAATTGACTAGACAAACTATTTTTCTCTACTTTTATCACAATAGTATCAGTGAATAATTCACTTATGCTGCCCTGTGGGTTACCACATTTGTATCTTGAACTTTAAATAATTGTTTCCTTTTCATCAAAGTCCATACAGATGGGTTCAATTACTTTAGAACATCCTTTCACAAAAAATTATTCTCCTTCTCTCTATTAAACTGTGAAACTCACCAATTAAAGCTAATCACTCACATGTCGGTAACTTCACGTTTTCTTTCACTAATTATTTTTCAATGAAGTAAACTTGACTTCATTTAACTTTGCTCCTTAGTTCTTAAGTTGCGTTCACTTGGTTGCCTACATTTATACATTGATCACTGAGACCTCAAACTTTCTGTAAAGTATGCAAATGGCACTGATTTAACAATATTCAGTTAAGGTAATGAGAATCGTGTAATGTGACATCACAATATTAGTAAAGCCTAGACAACAATGTACAACTCATACAGTTATGCAAGCAAACTTGTCATAACTATCACTTTTAAAATAATTACTTTTAACCCTCTTGTTATGAAAAGTAAATTGAATATTAAATCACCAACTAAACGAAATAATAACACTTACACTAAACAGTCTTGTATATCCAACACTGCCAGGCACTGACATCTAGGGAATAGTAGGAAAGAGGGTGCCACAGTTAGAGGGGCTAATTGCATGTTGGTAAAATGCATCATTTAACAACTGATGGCATCTGGAATTGTAAATCAGGTCTGCAGTAGGATGAGTGTTAACACCCTCTATACCAGGAAAACACCACTGCCCTACTCTCAACTGAGAGGGATTGAGCATGTTCAGGAGGAAGCTTCCATGGTCCACCACCCCAATAGCCAGGAACTGATAAGTGACAGGGACTCCACTAGAAGAAGGAGAAAGCAGAGAATTGGAGAGTCTACATGAATGCTGCACCAGATATAGTGCAATGATTGACTGTGATACCTTATTTGGAAAAGCAGGCCCATCCTGTGACATACAAGGCATAGATCATCTGGGTTTGACAGTAATCCCCATCTGCTTTATGGGGATGATTTTGGGATGAACATCTTTATGAAGGAAAATACTGCAAGGCATACCTACAAGCAGTCGTGAAGACCACACCCATCTTCATGGTGGACATATATGACACACAGGTCATACAGTGCAGATTTAAGAATAAGTATATCTGGTCAGGCAATGCTCACCACTGAGCAGGATCCAACTATGTGACAAAAGCCTCTGCAAAGAAAATCAAGAAATAAAATGAGCCCTTACCCACTCAAAAACACATTGTAGAGTACAAAATGGTGATGGGAGGAAGACAAAACCTACTAAAAAAAAAGATACAGCTAGGTGGTGAAGATAAAGAGCAGTAAAGGTATGGGTAGTGGTCCACATACCAGTGCTAATGATGTCATCTAACAGATGTCAGAAATGAGCAGCCAGGGACATGGTAAGGTCATGAAGATAATGAGAACATACATGGAAAAGATGACACTCATAAGGAGAAATGAAAGAATAAGCCCAGTTAATCAACCCCATAAGGGTACTGGGAGAAAGGTCTTGGAACTGAAAAGAAGTCCAAGGAATAAAGAATAGGGAGTAGGAACCACACAAAGAAACAGTGCATGCCATGTAACAATGGAGAGCTCTGACGAGACAGAAAAGGTGATTAGGATAAGAATGATTATAAAGGTGTGATAGTGAAGGAAGGGAGATAGGTGTGAAGGTGGAATTACCCTACTGAGAAGCTGAAGTATTGGGCAGAAAAGAATAATCAGGTAAAAGAACCACAGAAGAACTGTGAAACAAGGTGCAAACACATCCAAACGATGATGTCTGCACACCAATTTCAGTAGGAAAAGGGTCTTCAAGAAGAGGTGATATAAAAAACATGTCGACTATGGTTCAAAAGGAAGAAGGGTAAGGGCATGAAAGACAACATTGAGGTTCCAATCCAAAAGAGAGGCAGGGTAAGAAGGGCAGATGATGCAGAGAGAATGGAATAAATGGGACAGAATTGGTGAAGACATGGGCATAATGCATAAATCAAAATGTGGCTAACAAAGCCTACGACAGAGGAGACTGAAAGGCCTCTGTCAAAGAGCCAGGTTAGAAAGGAAGTGATGTGGTGAAGGGTTAGGTGGGACAGAGGAGAACCACAATGTATGGCCCAGCAATGGTATGTGTACCTCTGTCTTTGGTACACTGCCATGGCAGAAGAACATATGGAATGGCAAATCAAAGTTCAACCCACTGAGCCAGCTCTAAAACACGTAACTGAGCACAGAGCCCCAAAACATCCGTGGGTCCAGTGACCACTCCATACGGAGAATCCTATTGGGATGTCAAATGATCTGCAACAAGATACAGGAAACCCAGAATATGACAAGCCAACAAAAAATTTTGATGGCTGTTGGCTCAATACAAGAGGTCCAATGTCCAAAAACAGGTCTCTTGCCTGGAGATGTACAAGACTACTGTCATGTTATTGGAATGCGGCATCACTGACTGGCCCTAAAGTTCCAGAAAAAAATTAACCAAAGCCCGATGAATGGAGAAGAGCTCCAGATATTTATATGGAAAGAGGTCTCTTGATAGTGTCCACTGCCTCAAGCATTCAGATAAGTGCCCCAACTGAAAAGAAAAACATCTGTACAAAGGTTATATTCTAGTCGAGGAGTAAGGAGAATGCCAATAGTGATGTTGTCTCAATCCAACCACCAGGTGAAAATGGTCTGTAGAGAAGAGAAGAGGGGCATCCAAGAGATCCCAAATGAGTCTCCACCAATCCATCAAAGCTCAATGAAAGTGGCCCAAGTTGCATGACCAAGAGAGACAAGGACTTCCAGAAAAGCCCATGTTGCACAAAAGAGTTAGAACTTCTACAGTAGTAGGAAAAAGAGGAGAGGATAGGTTGAGAAGGGAGAAAGTCATGCCTAACTGATGAGGTAATTGAACAATACCCACGATAAATGATGTATTGCGTGGGGGTGAGGAAAGACTTCACTTCCCCCACCAACAAATCTGAGAAGCTGCAAGGGAGCTAGATGTAGCCAATCATCCTTGTAACAGTGAAAATTAAGGTCCTGGGAAGAACGAAGATGGCCAAAACCACAGACCACCCAACATAAAACATAGGGAGCCAAGGTAGACTCAACCAAAAAACACAATCCCAATGTAGAAAATGAAAGTAAAGTCAGGATGCAAGGGAGATGAGAAAGTAAAGGGAGACAATTGAACCATCTACTGTCATCTCCCATAGACCACAAGTGAAATTTCATCATTTATAAGATAATCTGCAAAATTCAAGGTCCTTGGTGAAGGACCACCAGACATCAGCAAAGTAGAGGGCCTAGGCTTCCACAGGACCTGAACCTACAATGTAGTCTTAAAGACTGTCAGTTGTCCCCAGAAGGGTACCACAAGTACTGAAACTGAACTACAGGAATAAGAGGCTAGAACCCAAAAGAACAGGAAAGAGGAGGGCAAGATACAGGAACAGATTCAGGATGGAATTGGGACAAATGAAAGGCCGATGAGAAAAGGAAGGTATACAACCATGCCAACTCAACTCAGGTTAACAAAGAGATGGGATTGAACCCAAAAACCTCCTGGAACAGAAAAGGAGCCATGCACAAAGCACACAATGAGGAGGGAAGCAAACATATCCATGACAAAAGAGTGGCCCAAAAACAGAGAAGCAACATTAGCATGAAAAGGGCGATGATGACAAAACCTT